ACACATTTATATAGTGCCTACTATGTGTCAGGTACTGTGATGAGTACTTTTTATAAATATCTCATTTGATCCTTACAATAACCTTGTGAGGTAGGTGCTATTATTATCTCCATTTTACAGTTGAGGAAACTGAGGCAAGTAGAGATTAAGTGATTTGCCCAGGGTCATGCAGCTTGTGGTTGAGGTCATATTTGAACTCAGGTCTTCCTGAATCCAGGCTCAATGCTTTATCCACTGCTTACAAGTTGCCTGATTAATAAAAATATAAACAATAGATAAAAATATATAATCTTTTAAGGCTTACATGTTATTTCTTTTGATCCTTACAACAACTCTGGTAGGTACTATTATTTATCCTCATTTTACAGATGAGGAAACCGAGGTACAGAGAGGTTAAGTGACTTGCCAGGGTCACATACCTAATAAGAGTCAAAGGTATGATTTGAACTCAGGTCTTCTTGACTTCAAGTCCAGCTGCGTATGCACTAAGCCTAGAGCTGCTTGTTAATTAAAATGAAAAAAGTTTTGAATTTATTATTTTATTTTTCTCCAGTTACATGTAGAAACAATTTTTAACACTCATTTTTAAAACTTTGAGTTCCAAATTCTCTCCCTTTCTCTTCCCCTCCCCTCCTCATTGAGAAGGCAAGCAATTTGATATGTTATACATGTGTAGTCATGCAAAACATTTCCATATTAGTCATGTTGTGAAAGAAAACATAGACGCCCCCCACAAAAAAAAAAACTTCAAGAAAAATAAAGAAAGAAAAAAAAAGTATGTTTCATTATGTATTCAGACACCATCAGTTCCTTCTTTGGGAATGGTTAGCATTTTTTCATTTTAAGTCCTTCAGAGTTGTCTTGGATCATTGTATTGCTGAGAATAGCTAAGTAATTCATAATTGATCATTATTGCTGTTACTTTGTACACAGTACATTTCACTTTGCATCAGCTCATGTAAGCTCATTATTTCTCATAGCATAATAGCATTCCATCATAATCACATACAACAACTTGTTCAGCCACAATTTCCAATTCTTTGCCACCAGAAGAGCTGCTATAAATATTTTTGTACATACGGGTCTTTTTCCTTTTTTTTTTAAATCTCTTTTGAGATACATATCTAGTAATGGTATTACTAAGTCAAAGGATATACACAGTTTGGCATAGTTCAAAAGTGTTCTACAGAATGGTTGAATCAGTTCACAACTCCACCAATGTGCATTAATGTCTCATTTTCCCCACAACCCCACCAACATTTGTCATTTTCCTTTCCCGTCTAAAAAAGAAATGAAAAAATAAATTTTAAAAGCTCATTTTTTAAAGGTCTAAATGTCAGCTATTACTCATACTTGACTGACCTCCATAAGGGGAGTGTGTATTCTCTAAATTTTCCCAACACTGAGGTCAATAAATGTTTATTGTTGTTCAGTCGTCTCCAACTCTTCATGAACCCATTTGGGGTTTTCTTGGCAAAGATGTAAGAGTGATTTACCATTTCCTTCTCTAGTTTATTTTACAGATGAGGCAAACAGGGTTAAGTGACTTGCCCAGGATCACACAGCTAGGAAGTAAGGATTTGAACTCAGGAAGATCAGTCTTCTAGACTTCGGGCGGCACTCCACCCACCAATTGTTTATTGAATTAAATGGAATTAATGATCACTACTTGCTTTTTGGGCCTGGGGTGGAGGGGCAGTGGCTGTCCCAAGAGAACTGTCGACCCGAGGGCTGCTCAATCGTGACTCTGCCGGGACTTGCCTGGCCTAAGAGGAAGTCCCAGCGGACCCACTTCTACCTTGGGGATCTTGATCTCTTCTGGGTGGAGGGGCTCCTGTTCCCAAGGGGTGCATGTGAGATTTGCCAGACCTCAGAGAGTAAGAAGGAGCTTCTGGATGGAATGGTTGAGAACCGATCTTCGGAGTGGGCGGGACGTCTGGCTCAGTTCAGAGCCACTGAAAGGTTGCGGGGCGGAGCATGGACTGAGTCCGGCTGAGGGTTGGAGACCTAACGAGCAGATGCTTCCCCAGCTTTTGTGCGTGCTAGGAACAGTGTTTCTTGCCCTCTGCTGCCATCATGCGACCGCATCTGGAGGACAGCCCAGGCAGGGTTGTAAAAAAAACGATTTCAGAGGGAGAATGAAAATAATTTAAAAAAAACAGCTAGCACTTATAGAGCGCTTTAAAGTTTGCAGAGTCCTTTATGTGCATTATGTCATTTGAGCTTCATAACAACCCCGTGAATTAGATACTATTGGTATTCCTATTTTACAGACGAGGAAACTGACGCTAAGAAAGATTAAAGGCAGGTAGATGGTTCAGTGGATAGAGCAATGGGTCTGGAGTCAAGAATATTTGAGTTCAAATACAGTCTCTGACACTTACTAGCTATGTGACCCTGGGCAAGTCACTTAACCTCTGTTTGCCTTAATCCACTGGAGAAGGAAATGGAAAACTACTCCAGTATCTTTGCCAAGAAAACTCTGTGGACAATATGGTCCACGGAGTTACAAAGAGTTGGACGTGACTGAACAAGAAAGATTAAATGACTTGTTCAGGGTTGGTGTCTGGCAGGTTAGTAGGAGCAGGAACTGTTACCTCCCCAGAAGGGTTAGTTAATGCCTAAGGTGAGTTGGGCAGCTAACTCCAGTTGTGTGTGAGATTCAGGGTCATGATACCACAGGATTGGGAATTGGAAAGGACCTTCAAGATCATCCCACAGTGTCCTTGGGTGGCACATGAGAAAATGTATGGTTATTACAGAATCTCAGAGTGAACAAGATCTTGCTGCATGATCTGTCTTGTACCTGGACATAATTCCCCTCCCCAAAAGGGCATAACTAGGTGATACTGGGCTGGTTTGTGGTAGGAAATGAAGAGAGAATATTCTGGGGAGGGAATATGATGTAGAGTATGGGGTGGGGTGGGAGAAGAGGATTTCAGGGTCCTAGAACCTTCTGGAGACAATGTCTTGGTTGCTAGTGGAGAGTGAGGTACCTCACTAGATTAGGAGCTGTCTAAGGACAGGAGGCACTTTAAGGTTCTGACCCTCTGGGAATAGAGGCTAGGCTGCTCCTGGGAGGGGGTGTGATTGTGGATACACCCATTCATTCATTCATTCATTCAATCAATCAACAAGCATTTTTTAAGTGCCTGCTAAGGGACAGGGATACAAGGACAAAAGTGAATCAGTTCCTGCCCATAGGGAGCCAAAGTTCTCTGGGGATAGGAGGGCACATTACTTCTTTAAACAAGGGATTTTGCTTGGGGAGACAGGCTGCCTAGGGAATTCTGGGAGGAAGGAGGCCTTCAAAGACCATGCATTGCTTGGTCAGAATGAGGTTCCTGGGGGTACCTACATGTCCTTCTGCCACTCAGGGACAACACTTGAAAAGGGGAAATCTTGTCTCCCCATTTCTGTACTCCAATATCTTGCAACCCCTGCACAGGCCCATCTTCCTCTCTCCCTTCTCCCCATGCCCCTTTGGTCTGGACCAGTGGAGAACTGTGAGGCCCAGGAATTGATGAAAGAAGTGAGTGTGCTGTCCTCCAAACTCAGATGGCCCTGCCTTCTGGCTCCTCTGCAACAAATCTGTCAAGTGGTCATCTAACCTCACTTGGATGACCACCAATGAGAGCTGCACATTTGGAATTAGAAGCCCTCTTGGAGAATATTCAGTTCAATCCCTTCATTTTGCAGAGACTTGTTCAATGTTGAACTTGTGGGAGGATCAGTACTTGATCCAAGGTTCTGTCTCCAAATTTAGTGTCCTTTCTATGACAACATAACAAGGCATACCATCCCACTTTTGTGTGGCTTTAATTGTGAAGAAGTTTTCCTTTACATTGAGATGAAATTGACTTCTTTATAATTTTGCAAGCATCGATCCTATGGAACCAAGCAGAGCCAATCTAATCCTTCTTCCACATGACAGTCCTTCAAAGATGTGAAGACATCTAGCTATCATTCCCTTCTCTTCTTTTGGCTAAGTACCCTCATTATTTTCAACTGATCATTTTATATTGTGATCTTGAACACTTTAACTATCTTTGTTGCTTTCCCCTGAATGTTTTTTTGCTTGTCAATATACTTCCTAAAATGTGGCCTCCAGAATTGAACACAGTACTCCCAGCATGCTCTAAGCTGCGTAGAGTATGGTGGTGATATTACCTTTCTAGTCCTAGACACTGCACCTCTCCAGAGTCCAAGATGCTATTAGTTTTTTGGAGGCTACCCTATCATACTATATAGTCTGTTGCAAACTTCAAAGAACTAGGTAAATTTCAGTTATCTTTTAGTCCAACTGTCTCATTTTACAGATGAAAGAACTAAGGTCCAGAGGGGCAAATAATGAAACCAGTCATATGATGGATAGTGGGAGAGTTGGAGCAAATATCCGGGTTGCCCAAAGGTTGCCTTAAGGTTTGCAGTAGCATCTCATTTGATCCTCACAATCATTGTTATCCCCATTTTAGAGATGAGGAAACTGAATTTCATGGAGATTAGATGACTTGCCCAGGGTCATACAGTTAGCAAATGTAGGAAGGGGGACTCAAATGAAGATTCATTGCTCTACCTACTAAGCCAAGTAGTTTCTTTCTACTAGGTAATTCTACCTCAGTTGTTGGAAGGGGTCAGAGAAGCATGAGAGTGCTAGACACTTGGGGAGATGGAAAGTTGGGGAAAAAAACATCTTTGCCTTCTTTACAATTTTGCTTCAGGCTGGTTCTGGCCTTCACTCGTGAACCTAAATCCTTTTTGTTACCTCCTTTGGCCACCAAATGGCTACAAATCAGATTTTCCCTGACTTCCTTTCCCATCTAAAATCACGTGCAATTTAAATGTTTTTTGTCCTGGAGTGAATATGGTTGGCTTAGTGTCTTAGCCCAAAGCAGAAGATGGTTTTGTCCTGGGTGATGACCATTTAGTTTCCTCAGGAGAGAGGTTCAGGACCCTTTATGCCTCCTGGAGGGATAATAATTTAATGAGACTATTTTTTTTGTTCATCGTCTTTATTCTTCCTGTTACATCCACTTGTCTAGTGGGAGTGTGTCTTTCTCAAGACTCCCAGTCATGCATGACTGCCATTTTACAGCTGTATCAAATGTAACACAACTACATTACCTACGCATAAGCCCGTGTAGGTTTCCTTCACGTCTCAACTGAATTCCCCACACTTTTTATTATACCATCTTACTCATCCTCCCTACATCTTTGTGTGGAAGTGGTCCAAGGACAATCCTCCCATTTTAAAATAAGACAGAGGAGAGGGGACCTTGGGCAGAGAGGAGAAGGGACTTGTCCACTTCCCTTTTGAGCCACAGGCAGATTCTGAGTTGGAATTCAGGGAATTCTGACTCCTCTGGGTCTATTTGCCTTTGTTTTCTCTCTTCTTTACCTGGTTTGCCTCTGATGGAGTCAGCCCTTTCATAAGCCCACTCATTACAAACCTCCATCACCATCATTGCCCCCATCTAAACCAATGGAGACAACCAGTTAGGGTTCAGCATGAGCACTCTCCCTCTTGGAGGGGAGGATGGTTTATCTGGGCCTCCTGCTTTCTGCTTCCTGGTCCCTAGCTCTCTAGTTGGGAGCTGGGGACCCACTCACCAGGCCCCTTCCTAACCACCTCATGCCTCCCGGCTCTGCCGCAGCCTGCGGTCCAGGGCCAGGAGCTGTCTCAGAAAACCCCTGTTGGGGATGATGCCTCGATGGTCCTTGACGGTCTTAATGGCTTCCACAAGGGTGAGCTGGTGGTAGAGCATGAGGTAGGCCAGTACCAGGGTGGCTGAGCGGCTCACACCTACTGCACAATGCACCAGGATCTTCCCTGCAAGGACAAATGAATGTTGATTGGGGAGCAGTAGGTGAATAGGAAGGAAGAGTATGGATAAACCTCTCCCCAGCTTCCTGTCCTACCTCCTGGCCTGCTCAGTGCTCGGTGGATGAAATCAGCAGCTGGCTGGAAGTGGATGCTCATGTCAAAGGCAGGTGAATCATGGGCCTCCACACCCAAGTATCGGATACCCAGCCCTTCATAGGCCTCAGGTGTTCCCCGCCACTTACTGTGGGAGGCATTGAGCACGTGGGTGATGCCCAGCCGGCTCAGCTCCCGTCTGTTGGCAGCTATGTCCCTGCAGGGAAGTGAAGTTAGAGAGAGGAAGAAGGAGGAATAATTACCCCCTCCCCCCCAGATTATTATTCTATCCCTAATTCCAGTTCATTACTCAAGCCTAATTAGAGCTGGAAAGTGGCCTTAGAAATCATCTAATAAAACCCCTTATTTTACAGATAAGGAAATTGAGGCCCAGAGAAGTCAGGGTGCTGTGGGGGAAAGAATGTTGGATTTGGAGTTAGAGGAGCTGAGTTTAAATCCTCTTACTATTGTACTTGCTCTCACTCCATAAACTTCATAGGGTCATAGATTTATCATAAATCTATGATAATATATATATATATGGTATATGATATATGATAATAGGGAACTTAATATCATTTGACCTTGGTCCAGTCATTTAACTTTTCTTGGCCTCAATAACTTTGATTTTAATTACTGTAAGGGTATTGGATTAAATGATCTCTAAGGTCTAGCTCTGCATGTCTGATCTATGAAGCCACACAGGTGGTTAGTTGTAGAACTGGGACTAGGGCCTCAGATTCCTAGGTTACTACTCTATTATATGACAGAGCTTCCCTCATTTGACCTCTTTCTCCTTGTCCATCCCAACCACTCTCAGATTTTCCCTCTAAAGTCCCCAAATTCCAATCTCTGGTTATGCCTCTATCTCCCCCTGACTCTGAATTCAGTCCCATTTGGTTTCCTCTGGCCCTTATCCTTTATTCTCAGGTTCAGTCCTACATACATCTCTGTCCTCCCTGGCCAATGCAACTAAATCTCCATTTCGGCACAAATATTCTGTTTTTGCCATTCCTCTCATTACTTGCTTGCTCTGGCTCTATCCAATTTATAGATTGGGCTTATATATTTATAGCTTGAAGGGACCTTCTCATTTCACAGAATAGGCCACACAGGTATGAGGGCTAGGATTGGAACTTAGGACTGGTGAGTACTAGTTTAACATTCTACTTCTGTTCACATGTCTCCCAAGGAGAACATCCCTGTACCTCCTTGCCTTCTCCTCTACATCTGTATCTCCTGGTGCCAAGACATTTTTATGCCTTAGGCAAGGTGTAAAGTTTGAAAATTGCTTTATTATTCACTAGAATGTTTGGGCCTTCAGCTTAAATCCATAAACCTATAGACTTGACTTTTCACAAAATAGTTAGGAGTAGGATTTTCTGGTGTTAAAAAATGGGCATTTAAAAAAGGCATTATTCTTAAAGTGTCGTGTCCCCCCCCCCCCCCCCCCCCCGCACTGTACTCACCTGTGTACCATACCTTTGTCTATTCCTACCTAGCCTTGGCTCTGCTACCCCACCCTAAGGGCCCAAATCATTGTACCAGCCTTTTGGAGCCTAGGAAAAGGTCAAGGAAGACATCACTTAACCTGAACCCCAGGCAAGTGGGGTATGTGCATCAAGGGCAATCTCATTCCCTTCCCTTTCCCCATCCAGGATTATAAAATCTTAGAATCTGGGACTGGAGAGGACCTTAGAAATCATCTCATCCAACCTCCTTATTTTACAAATGGGGAAACTGAGGCCCAGAGATGCACAGCCAACTTGGCCCCTGCCCTTCACGACCCATTCAAAACCGAGAGTCATCAGCACAACCCCAGCACCTCTTTCCTCCTTCCCTGAGACAGACACACACATAGACATATTGCCCACTGGTGTGAGCTTTCTAGGTACGTACTGGTCTCCAAGGTAGAGGCCTGGCCAGACCTCATCTGCATGGTTACAGGCAGTCTTGCCGGTGAAGAGGAGCCTTTCCAGTTCAAAGACACTGAGGAGGGGATGTTGAACGGGGGCTGTGTCCTCCAGGTGTCCCCCAGCCCGAGCAGGTGACCGGGAGCCACCCCGGGAAAACCGGGCCATGAACGTCATAGAAGCCCAGAGCCAGTTGCCAGGACACATCCCAGGGAGTGGTGGCAGCACCTCCTCCGTGGGCAGGTTAGCTGCTGCTCCTGCTGCTGAAGGATGCTGGGGCTGGGACATACACCTGAGCAAGGCTGAAGCAGCTTCTCTCTCTCCCTGCCACCTGTGTTGCGCTCTGGAGACGACCTATTCAAGACAGAGATGGGGAAAGTGGCCCTTGTCCTTATCACAGGGACCTGCTTTCCCTTCCTTTCCCTCTTCCTTAATCGACAAAACCTTCTCCGGCTCATTTCATTGTCTCTGCCCGGCAGGGAGATGGGGAGAGTCACATGTCCTTGTTTACGGGAGACGGCACTGCCCAGCTGGGCTGCCGGATTCCCGATCCCCTCCCACCCCAATCACTCACAGAGAAACACACACACCCCCATAGGGCCCTGGTGGCAGGTGCCCAGTGCTGGGCCTCTTGCCAGTTTGTGAGCAACGGGTTCTGTCTGGCAGACTGCAGTCAGGGAACTTAGGGTGTGTGTGTGTGTGTGTGTGTGTGTGTTTGTGTGTGTGTGTGTGTGTGTGTATGTGTGTGTGGTAGGGGTTGGGGGTTGGGGATGAAGGGGAGGGCGTGGGACACATCCAGAGATGAACAGCAGGAAGAGCACAGCAGCTGGGGTTATGGGATATGCCAGACCTGCAAGGTCTTTGCCTGGGGGGATGGGCTGCCTTAACCCTTTTTTTGCCCTTTGTGGTTCTGACAGAGAATGCCATGATGGGGACTTTGGGAGTGGTGAAGAGTTAGGGGCCCTCTGAATGTAGGTGCTACAGCCATCTGGGGAACAGCAAAGAGCTCAGTAAAGATTTGTAGAATGAATTAATGAGTGGGAGAGGCTGATGATTAGACTGTGCCAGCCTGGCATCATTCATCATTTAGGTAACCAAATGCTCTTACCAAAGCACAGCTTAGGGGAGAAAAAATATCAGAAGAAATCCTAAATCTGATGGGAACCTTTGGGTCAAGGCACAGTGCAGGGAGAGGGAGAATGTGTAATAATAATAATGATGACTGTATTTTGCAATGTTTTAAGAGATTCCAGCTCTGCTGCAAGCCTGTGTGGCCACAGATGACTCAATCTCTCTCTCTGAAAGGAAGGGAAGGGGAAAAGGAAGGGAACAAGCATTTATTAAGTGTTAATTGTCTCATTTGTTCCTCACAATTACCCTTTGAGATAGGTGCTATTATTATCCTCACTTTACAGCTGAGGAAACTGAGGCAGACAGAGGTTAAGTGACTGCCACAGCCAGCAAGTATCTTTGGCTTGATTTGAACCCAGGTCTTCCTGACTTAGGCCCAGCACTCTCACCATTGTACCACTTAGCTGCCTCTAGCCTCAGTTTCCTCATCTGTAAAATGGGGATAATAATTTGGAGTACCTACCTCACAGGGCTGTTATGAGAATCAAATGAGATGATGAATGTGAAACACCATACATAGAATAGGGACTGGACCTATGATTTCATTCATATAGGGAACTCTTGCATGAAGAAACTCCCTTTAGCAATTCAGATTGGCCCCTTCCCTTAATGACTAGCTCAGGGTCATGAAGTCAATATGTTCCAGGCAGGACTTCAACCCAGGTCTTCTTGGCTTCAAGGCCAGCTCTCTGTCCACTACTCTACTATGACCCTCTCTATTCACTCTAATGTCCTATAAACATTGGCTATGATTTTTAGACCTCAATAGCTCAGAATGCCTCTTTGTGCTAGGACAGTGGGCAATGTCTGGTAGAGCTGCGTGGCTAAAAAGTGGGAGAACAGGGATCCAAACCCAGGCCTCTTCTCAGGAAGTCAGTCAACAAGAATTTGTTAAATGCTTACTATATACTAGACATTGTGCTAAGCATTGGACATTTAAAGAGAGGAAAAGAAAGGCACTGTTCTCTAGAAGCTCACATCAGGAGAAGGCTAAAGTGCCTTGAGTAGGATTGACTTCTGCCTCTGAGATTTGTGATTTGGTGAGTTGGCAGGAGCCACCCTTGGTCTCAAGGTACAGTGTTGGGCTTTTTGCCTTTAGGGGAAGAGGGATTAAACTGAGGGCTGGAGAAAGGAGTTGGCAGACCAATGTCAATTAGAGGCTTGGCCACTAGACCCTAGGTGGGGGGGAAGGGGGGGTGGAACCTGAGGCCTAGAGGCCCCATGTGACCTTCTAGGTCCTTGGGTGCAGCCTTTGACTGAATCCAAGTTTTACAGAACAAATCCTTTTATTAAGGGGGTTTGTTCCGTGAAGTTTGGATTTATGAACCTCGAGGACACATGTTTCCTACCCCTGCAGGTGATGCCTTCCCATTGGCAGTCTTCCCCTCCTTAACTCTACCTCTGAGAATTCCTTACTTCCTTCAAGATTTGGATTGGTGCTGCCCTCAACATGAAGCCTTTCTTGATCTTCCCAAGCTGTGCAAAGCTCTTTTTCCTGATAGACTGTGAACTCCTTGAGAGCAGGCACTGTTTCATTTCTGTTTCTGATCCCAGCTCCTATGACAGTGCCTGATGCATAGTGGGCACTTAATATATGCTTATTGATTGCTGGAAAGGCAGAGCTAACAAATCCCCTGAGCATCCTCTTTTCCCAGCATGGACCTTCCTTCCCTTCCTATGACCAGGAAGGAGCAAGAGCCCAGAACTCAGCAACAGGCTGGTTTTTCAGAACAGGAAGGGAAGGCCTTACTTTCTCGGGTGTCATGTCATATAGTCTGAAACACTCTCCCAAGCACCCTGGGTAGCCTAGAGCTGAAAGATCCCTTCTCCAGCCCCCTGCACCCCTCTACCCATTAGATCAGAGAAGCAGATTTCTTCTTTATTCATACTTGTCATTCATAGGAACTGATAATGTCTAATTAGAAAGGTTCATAGAAACCATTGAGTTTAAACCTCTCATTTTACAGAAGAAAAAACTGAGGCCCATTGAGCTTAAGTAACTTGTCCAAGGTCACATAAGTAGTGTCAGAGCTTGGGATTAAAAACTCAGGTCCTTTCTCAGACTTCCAAAACAGAGCTCTTTCCACAATACCATGAAGTGGAGGGATTAGGAAAGGAAGGGGTAAAGAAGGGATATTGAAATTTAGGCTCTTTAGGGATAGACAGCTGTTTTCCCACCAACTGAGTTAGAAGGGCTGGGAAATGAAGCCCAGCAACCAGGACAATGGTTCTCTGTTCCCACTTCTGAGGCCTGAAGGCCCCCTACCTCACTCCCCATGCATCCTTCTCCCTTAGCTATGGATGGAAGGTGAGTTTGTGGCTGTGGGAAGGAAATGGGGAGGCAGGACAAGAAAGGAGTATCGTATGACTCCCCTGGACACATAGCCCCATCCCTGGACACACTCTTCATTTCTCACCTCTGGATAAAGCCAGGCTGAGGGGTTCCTTGTCTTCTACTCTCTGTCTCTGTCGCTGTCTCTGTCCACCCTCCCTCCCCTCTCTGTCTCTTCTCTATCTGTCTCTGTCTGTGTCTGCCTGCCTGTCTGCCTGCCTGCCTGCCTGTCTGCCTGTCTGCCTGTCTGTCTGTCTGTTGGACTCTGGGTGTCTCTGTTTCTTAGTCAGTCTCTTTCCCTCCTTCACCCATTCCCCCTCCTTCACCCCTTCCCCCTCCCTGGGCTGCTGCTGTTGTAACAGGTTCATGGCAGACCCACAACCCCTGCCAGTGCAGACGCGGGAGGAGGGAGGAGAGTGAGGGAAAGGAACAAAACATCCTCTGTGCTCTTTTCCTGTATGCCCCCTTCCCCTTTCTCCCACGGCCCCCAAGCTGTTTGCCCCCATTCCAAGCCCCAGTATCCAGAAGAGCGGTAAATGCACCCAATCTCAATTACCTCTTTCCAGGCTGGAAGTCTTAGCTCTCAGGGACGGGCGCAGGCAAAGCCAACCAGACAGCCATGTCTCTCTCTCCTCCTCCTCCACCTCCTGCGGCTGCTGCCGCCCCCTCTGCTGCTGCCACGGCTGCTGCTGCTGCTGCTGCTGCCTCTGCTACCACCACTGCTATTGCCAGAGGGGTTGATGTGTTAACATCTATTTTAAGCTGTGACACGTCTCCTCAGGTTTCAGATGTCAGTGTGCATGCAACACACACACACACACACACACACACAGAGCCAGCTCACATACTCATTTCTACCCTCCCCCTTCTAGGCTCACATTTTGGTCACGTACATGAAGCTGTAATGTTTCTACATTAGAAACCTACTAACATACCTAGTCATCCACTTAAACTATATAGCTCTAATTCCATACAGGTTTTTTATCCAGACGCCCCTTCCCTAGCCCTCCTCTCATTCCTCTTTGTGAATTTCATTTAATTATTCAGAAACTTTTAGACACTCTCGTGTCCAAGGGTCTATCCTACGCGCTATCCTAGGAACTATACATACTCTGCTAAGCTAACTTTGTTCTCACGTTCAAGAAGCTTAGAATGTGGAAGGAATAATGAATTTCACTCAGGGAACCTGAGATGCAATATGGGTGTGGTGGGTGGGTGGCGTTTGACTTTGAGTCAGGAAGACTTGGTTTGGAAAGACAGCCTTGGATATTTAATAGCTAAATGACCCAGAGTAAGTCACTTAACCTTTTTCAGCTTTAGCTTCCCAATTTGTAAAATGGGGGTGGGTGGGTTGGTTTCTATGATCTTTAGTATCTCTTCCAGCTTAGATCTACAATTCTGTGAACTCTGGCTGCACTGCTTAGTTATTAGTGTGACATTGGGCACAACAGACCTTCTCTGAACTTCAGTTTTCTTGTCTGTAAAAGGAAGGGAGGGATTATCAGGAGTTTTTAACTTTTTTGTGTTATAGACCGCTTTGGCAGTCTGGTGAAGCTTATAGGCTCCTCAGAATATTTTTAAATGAATAAAATAAAATATAGAGCATTATAAGGACCATTAATTATACTGAAATAAGATATTAAAATATTTTTTAAACACCCAAGTTCCTGGACCCCAGGTTAAGAATCCTTACACTCGCTCACCTGAGATGGGAGTCAGGAGTGACTAATTGAGAGAATGGAAGTGTTCTAAGGCTGATCTCCAAGAGTGGATAAAGACATCACTCCTAACAAGTAACATTAAGTTTTTCTTCTTGTTTGAGTTAGGAGTAAATACTGACCTGTTTCTGTTTGTTAATCTTTGTGTTTGTAACCCCAGTAAGATCAGAGAAGAGCTAAGCAGTTTTTGATAGTAGATAACTTTCATTTTCTTTTAGTTTTTGGATCTTTCGAGATTCTTTTAACATTTCATGCTGTATGATGGACTTATTTCTGTTTGGTCTATTCTAGTTTACAAGGACTCTGTTTCTTGGGTAAGGCTTTCCACTTTCCCTTCTAAAATTCTTATTCTCTTTCCAATTCTTTCCTCCAAAGTTTTTGTTTTTATTTTTATTTTTTAGTTCTAGTTCCATATCTTCTCGATATTCGTGTCATCCTTGTGGAAAATCCATTCCCCCTCTTTGAATCTCTGTGCAATAGAATGAAAAAACTTTTATTGAGCAATTACCATATACTAAGTGCTATGTTAAATGCTGGGGATACAAATACAAAAGTGAAGACAGTCTCTGCCTTTAAGGAGCTTACATTGCATTTGGATAGATAAAATGTTAAAAAATCAAAGAAATATGTAAATTATTTATATATAAATTATAATTTAATTATTTGCATCTGTCTACCTATCTACCTATCTACCTATCTATGGAAATAGTGGCTAGGGAATGGCATTTTGATTTGGGAAGTAACAGGTATGTTGAATAGAAACATATAGGAATTATTTGACATAACATTTCCACAAGATAGTAAATGTTTAACAACCAGCTCTCCAGAAAAAAAGTATGTATGTTTAATCTGCATCATTAATATTTCTTCCATATTTTCCTAAATCTGGAAATAACAAAACAGTAAATCAAACCCTGATTTGCAGTGCTTGCTGATTTCTGAGGTGTAAATGTTCACATTGAAAATTTAACAATTGGCTTTCTCAAGCCCTTTCAGCTGGCTCTAGCACACCCTTGCCTTTCCAGCAGCAAAGGTAGTATTGATTTGGTTTCAATTTCCAGAGGAAGAGGTAGAAAGTAGATTGGGAGTAGGGGACAGGATATACCTAAAGGAGCAGGACAGATAGCAAGGAAACGGAAAGGGTGAGATGAAAATGAACTCAAGCAGTAGGTAAGGTATAGATGGAGAAGGTGCTATTTTACCTGGTCATTGGGTCAGAAAGGGTACAGGCTGACTCTTTGCCTCCTTTTCTCAGAAGAGAAGTTCCCTTAATAGAGTCTGAAGGCTTTTTATCTCATAGTTCCAAACACTATTCAATGGGCTGCACTCTCCAGATGGAACTTTTCTAGGTGCCAAAAGGACCTCATCTGACTATGATGGGTTTGGTCTTTGTCTGAGTAATGAGAACATGCTGTGGGTTAGTGGAATAAGTGTTGGTTTTAGATACAGAGGACTTGGTTTCTAACCAGGAGTGTGGTCTGCCAACTGAGTGTTCACACTCTGGAAATCAGCCCATGATACAGATCAGGGCTTGAATTATTGTTTTGTTGATTGCCTAGACATAGGAAATCGATGAAAAATGTTAATAATAAAGATTAAGCTAAAAAGGATGCCTTATTTAATCTCCCCACCTTGAGACACCTCAGGTTGTTAAACATTTACCAGCATACCCCTGAGTTCCAATCCTCATTCTGTTATTACCTGTTCAACCTTAAGTAATCACTTAATTTTTCTTAACTCAGTTTCCTCATCTGTAAAATGAAAAGGTGGTACTAGCTCATCTTTAATATTCTTTACAACTCTAGATTTATGAGGTGGAAGGAAAATCAGAGGTCATTGAGTCTAACTTCCCCCCCCCCATTCTGCAGATGAAGAAACTGAAGCCCAGAGAGGTAGTGATTTGCCCAAGGTCACACAGCTAGTAGAAGAGGTGGTATTTGAACTGAAATCATTCTACTCAAAGTCCAGGGCTTGTCATACCATACTACCTCTCTTTTCTTTCCTTGTTCATGTAAGATGAGGAAAGTTGCAGCTTCTGCCTTGATATAAAAAAGCTCTGGAGATAGTCAGTTTTCTCTGAGAGTATGACAAGTTGTTCAGGGCAGCCTTGTGCTCCTTATCTTCCATTAGTCCTTCCCTGGTGTTCCTGTCTTTTCTAGGTCTAAGGACAGGGGCATGGATTGTGTCCAGTGCCTTGATGGAGGTTGATGATATTGAAGATGGTAAAATCAATGATGAACTATTTCTCTGATGATTATAAGATTATTGTTTCAGTTGTGTCCAATTCTTCGTGACCCCATTTGGGTTTTCTTGGCAAAGATACTGGAGTGTTTGGCCATTTCCTTCTCCAACTCATTTTACAGATGAAGAAACTGAGGCAAAGAGGGTTTACCCAGGGTCACGAAGCTAGTAAGTGCTTGAGGCCTGATTTGAACTCATGATGAATCTTCCTGATTCCAAGCCAAGTGCTCTATCCATTGCACTACTTAGTTGCCCAGTTATAAGATTGGGGTGAAGGAAAATGATACATAGCAATGTGAAGACAACTCTGGGGGAGCTCCTTAATTAGTGGCTGAGGTTGGGGGATATCATCTCTGCAGAATTGGTTATATAATCATTTCTTCCTTAGACAAATACCTCCAAGTTCTTTAACATTTCCCTAGGCTTTATAGTGGTCCCTTGTATGGAGAAGGTAACATTCTAGTGATATTTAGCAAACATTTGACTTTTGAAATCATGGATTTTCAAACTTAACTCGTAGAGCCAGGAAAATATTGGGGAAAAACTGCACGAATCAAATTTGAATGATACATCCTGTCAGACTAATCTAATTTTCTGTAGGAGAATCTCAAGCTTGGTAGCTTGAGGGGAAGCCAGAGATGTAAATCCATTCTGACTTTTATTTTTATTTAAAAATGTTTTATTGATGTCTTTAAAAATATAGATGACAGTCATCTCCTGATATCCCCCTGCTTCCTGTTGAACATTCCCTTGTAACAAAGAAAAATAGTTAAGCAAAATCAAATAGCAAAGCACCTGTGTCGGATAGTGGATGCATCATTGTAGCTCTCCCATCCCCCACCTGTCCTACCAAGAAATGGGACATTTGTTTCATTCTCTGTTCTCCAGGACCAAGACTGAACACTGCAATTACTCTGAATTCATCTGCCTTCTCATGTTGTTGTTATTTACACTATTATAGTCATTATGTATATTCATTTTCTTGGTTCATCCTGTTTTCTTCCATCAGCATTGATTCATTCAACCCTTCCCATGTTTTCCTGAATCCTGAATTCCTCATATTCATTGTTACTTTTAGAACAGTGATATTGGACTATGTTTATATATCAAAATTTTGTAAGTCATTTTTCAATCAATGGAGATCGATTGCTTCCATTTTTTAGCTATGATAAAAAGTGTTGTTATAAATATTTTCTTTTATATTGGATCTTTTTGTCTTTGAGTATATGCCTAGTAGTGGAATAGCTGGTTCAGAGGGCATTATACTATAGATGCATCTTTATTTCAAATGAAAAGCATGCTTTGGGCCATTTTAGACATAGTAGCTGGAATGGTAGGGAGGTTCTGGGTGAAAGTAAGGGTGTGGTTCTGGCCTTCTAACTCAAAACCCAGTGTTCTGTCTCCCAACATCATAGGATCATAAAGTTTCAGAGATGTATGGGATCTCAGAAGTTGCCAAATTTAACCCTTTACCTGAGCAGGATTGTTTCCTATAATATTCTTAGCAAGTGGTCATCCAGCCTTGGCTTGGGAAACTACCTCCCAATTTACTTGGTTTTGGTTCAGTTTCAATTTCACCTCTTAGGCTAGGGGAGTTTCCCCTTTCTATAGAGCCCAAGTCTTCCTCCTCTGCAGCTTCCTTATACCATTGTTCCTATTCTTCACTTTTGGGGTCAAATTGAAGAAGTCAATTTGTTCTTTCCTATCGTAGCCCCTCAAATATTTAAAGAAAGATCATGTTGTCTCTACATCTATTCTCCAGGCTAAAAACGCCCAGTTTCTTCAACTGATACTTGCTTGCATGGCATGA